ACTCCCCCCGACTTTATCTCTGAGTTCCTTCTTTCATTTTGCTTTATTCTTCGTATCTACCTTTTGGACTTTGGTCCTCTGGCCCTGTTCTCCTTCTGTATCCGATCTTGACATATTCCCGTACCCATCATGTACCATATATGTTGCCCGCTGATTCCCAAATGCCACATGTTTACCTGGTTCACAATATAAAATCTGCCTGAGACTGAGCAAGCCAAAATGCAGCTTGACCTTCCCCCACTATGATCTATACTGTCACCGTCCCTATGTTCAACAACAAGCCTAGGTGTGGAACTTTGTATACCATATATATATGGAAATTTCACACGCTCGTTACCTATTGTGTACAGATTCTCTCACCTGTTCTATTCTTGTGTTATTCCTTGTGATTTTCTATCTTTCCTGATTGATATTACCGCTTTAGACACATTCTTTTGTTCCCTTTATGGAAATGCTTCCCTCGAGCTCCCTCACATATACCAGGAGCTCTCCCTCCACATCTTCTCAGTCTTTTCCCTTATACTTTGACTGAGGAATGAGTCTGCCATGTCCCTTCATGTCCCTTATGTCCTAATGTACCTATGATGTCTCTGTAGTCATATATTAGGTACTACATGTGTAACTCAGTCTTTTCCCTTATACTTTGACTGATAATCATATATTAGGGAATTATCACTCTTACCTTCAGATCCAGAAGCTAATTGTCAGAGTACGCGCTGGAGCTCCTAGGAGCGGTGCGGATCCCCCAGGACGGCGGTGGAGACGCTGTTGCACAAGGCAGGGAAGCAACTGAGAATGTATACAAGGATACGAGATGAATACACATACCTGTTGCACAAGGCAGGGAAGCAACTGAGAGAACAAGTCTGAGTTGCTCCCTGGTGCGACAGGCGACTATATAGTAGCTGAGTAATCCATCAGCAACGAGAGGGATGGTCCAATGAGAGAGAGGGAGGCTCCTCGGGTGCGTGGCACGTGACCAGTGGAACGGCCTAGGAAGGCCGCGCAATGTGCGGAGGCCCTAGGAGGCCCGAAAGGGTAGAAGAATGTATGGAGCTCCTAGGAAGCACCGAAAGAATAGAAGGAGCGTCTGGGAGCTCCTAGGAAACCTGAAAGGGTAAAAAGAGCGTGTGGGGAATGCAGGGAAACAGGGAAAGATGAGTACTGGAGGCGTGCCATGACACTAATCACTAGGTCCAGTGACTACTCATCCTGCGGATCCGGATGTTCATCAGCTGCTCCTGACTCACCCGTGGGTGGTGGCGATGATTCAGGGGATGCCCCAGCTGTGCCGAAGCTGGCACTCAGCTCAGCGATCCTCCTTTCTACAAACGACAGCCGCGCACATATTGCTAAACCCACTGGGGAAGCCGATCGCCCTAATTACGGAGGGTGTTGAACTCAGATCCATTCCTATACCCCCAGCTTTTGGTAAACTAGGTTTTCAGCCGTCTTAAATGCCTACTTAACGTTGTTCAGGGGCCCCAGCTTCTGTAGGGAGATCCACCAGAGGATCACAGGAAAATGAGCGGTGAAGCGCAGAGGAGACATTGGAAGACAATCGGGGATGGTCAGGGATGGTTGGTGTCAGGATACAACTACAACGCCGGGAGGAGTATCCCTCCTATCCATCAGTTTGGTGGGTGCACGTGTGGTGCGTTGATATGCCTGCCATGCTCGTCTCGTTCTCTCCACCGTTTACTACACTCGCATGTCCGGTGGAGGTAAGAACCCTCCGCATACATTCACATATACATGTATTAACTAGACAACCTGTAGCCTTACACGCGGTTACAGGTAATTAAGACCGTTTACTACACTTGTGTGTCCGGTGGAGCCTTACATGCAGCTACAGGTCTTAACAGGTTATGAGCCCTGCTTAACGCATATTGCTTACCAGATCCCTTGGACCTGACCTGAAACGGTGAATGAGCGATAACAATTCTCTATCTTTGCCTACTCGAGCTATCTCCGATCGTTCGGCGCTAACCCCGCGCCCTATCACTCTGGACCCTTTGCAAGCTTCACGTTTGGTCTCTCCCGCGAACATACCCACGATCATTTTACCAGATACCTCCGCTATCATGCCCACCTCGGCATCCATGGCTCCCACAGCCTCCAAATACACCGAGATCGCCCGCATCACAAACGCAAGTGGTTTCCACAACCTACCGGAGGAGCACCAACTATCTCTTGCCGCAGGGAACTGGGTCACTTTTTCGGCACAGTTTCTAAATGAATTAGGCTGCATTTTCTTGCGAGACTATTTGGATGAGGTTGACGCTCCGCCGTGTCCATCCGTCGATGAGGCGCTGGCCGATGTCTCTTTAGCGACCATCCGTTGGGTGTTTTGGCACAATGATGGACTTGTCAAGTCCCTGCTGTGGATGAATGTGTCACCGGAAGACCGCAAGATCATTGATTCCCACAACACGTCATTGGCTGCCTAGAGAGCCCTTCGTCTCCACCATCAGGCTGTGGGCGATAAACTGAAGGCCAAAATCTGGATCGGGCTTTTTGGGACCACTTTTTCTCCAGGTCCCGATCAGACTGCATCCGGCACGATCGCCTCCATCCGGGCAGATGCCTGTCGACTTTTTGAAGCAGGCCTCCCCACCACTGTCAAAGACATCGTCAACATTGTGTGTATCAATGCGCTCAGCGCAAATTTTCCCAACATTCTCGCCAATGTGACGCACAACTTAGCCAGCCGTAAGGTCCCAACGTCAGAGATTGAGCATTCCATACTCGACCGGCAGAAACCTGGCACCCTCGTCAATGCTGTCCGCGCTCAGTCCACCCCATCGCATGCCAAAGCCACGGTCTCTGGGAACGGGAAGAAGTACGCAAGGCGGCATAATCACACGTTTTTGAACTACTGGTGCAAGGTGTGTGAGGCTACACCGTGCGCAAAGAAAGACCAACCCAGTGCTGTCCCAGTTGCCCGCCACAGTGAACCTATAAAGTCTGCAAATTCGTCGCAGGGTGCCTCACCTGCCGTCCAGGCCCATGCCGCTGTCATGCAGGGTCAGGATGGCAAGTTTTACACTTTCACCAAGGTTCCCTCGATACCAAACTTGGGTACTTCCATGCCTACGCCATCTTTTGCGGCCACCGCCGCTATCTCTGACTGGCCTACGTCGGTCGCTTTTGCAACTACGCCCAACGTCCCGTTTCTACTCGACATTGACGCCGGGTCGTGGAGCGACGTCGACTTTGGCTCCTGCAAATTCACAGCCAACGTTGTCCACACGACGTCTGTCCACTGGCTGCAGGCTACTGCCGTCGACACGAACCCCATTCCGCCTGCCCGCAAGATGTCTGCCAATGATCACCGGCTCGCAAACATCGGTGCCAACCTCGCTGCATCGCACAAATTCATTCTTGACACTGGCGCTAACATATCGTTGACGAAATACCGTCACCTCTTCGAGTCGCTTCACCCTCTCCATGTTGCGATCGGCAGTTTTAAAGGATCTAAGGTCTTCTCTTCTGGGGTGGGTACTATGCACATTGCGCTTCCTGGAGGCTGACAGATGCTGGTCAACAATGCCCTCTGGGTCCCTGAGACGACTCTGACACTCCTCTCTGTCGGATGCCTATGCGATGAAGGGTACTGCATTGACTTCAAGTCGGGACATGCTGACGTCTACTGGGAACTAGAGCCGATGCCCGACGCCCGCGCAACCTGCAAGAACAACAGCTTGTACCGCCTTGATGGCCCAGACACCTGCCCATCTCCCTCCCTTATTGTCCCTGTTGCCACTTCTGCCGTTCCACTTACCACCTGGCACAGTCAGTTTGGCCATGCCAATCATGGCGCTTTATCGCAGGCTGCACGTGCTGGCGTCGTTGATGGTATGCCCGTCTCCCCCTCAATGTCCGCCCCGCCCTCATGTGACCATTGTATCCTCAGCAAGCAGTCCAAAGCCGCCATGCCAAAGGTCCGTGAGGGAGTGAGGGCAGCGGGGATTTTAGACGTGGTATACATCAATTTACAGGGGCCCTTTCATGTACAAGCTCTTAGCGGCTACTTCTATTTACTGGACATTGTCGACAAATCTTCGGGATACATCTGGAGTCTGCCGCTTGCTCTCAAATCGGATTCAACACCTGCTCAAACAGTGGGAGGACGAGATTTTCTGTTTGACATCGACCCGCATCCGCATCTACCGGTCGGACAACAGTCGCGAATTTGACAGCAAGGCTATGCGTGCACAACTTGCCAGCGGCACGTCTCAGCAGTTCTCCACCCCCTACTCATCCGTGCACATAGGCATGTGCAAGCATGCTCACCAGACAATTATGGGTCGCGGCCAGGCATGCATGTCCGCTGCGGCTCTTCCTCCTTGTCTGTGGGTGATCTCCATGCAGACTGTGGCTTATCTGTCAAATCTGACCCTGACCGTGTCTGCTGGTGGCCGTACTCCTCATGAACTATTTTTCGGCACAAACTGATCGTATCTCACCTGCGTGAGATTGGTTGTCGCGTGTTTGTACTGATCGAGAATGTTCCTAACCCCAAGATACTTCCGCGCTCGAGAGAGTGCGTGCTGGTTGGCTACTCTCCCAACAGTAAGGCCTACTTATGCTGGCACTGAGCTTCTGGTAAAGTCCTGAAGTCCCATAACGTGTCCTTCATCGAGTCCCACCAACTTCCTCCCATTACACCAATCACATCTCCAACTCCTGTCTCATCCGCACCGGCGATTGATCACAACAACGTGTTCACTGACAACTCAAAGCCTCCCGTCATGCCCGCGCAGCGCCTTCGTGAGGATCCTTCGCTTGGCCATCCACCTCCTGTTTGGTGTTCTACGTGGGAATGTCGTGCCCATGGTAATGTGGACCAGCTCGTCGACACCATCTCTGGAATCTGTGCCTCTGCCGATCGTCTCAGGGCTGGCCGTGGTACTCCTACAGTCGAGGAGGAGTGCACTGACGTTACCACCCATGCCGCCGTCGCTGACCACATTTGCAATGCCATGGCCCACGCTGTTCTGACGACCCCACCGGCCCTGATCTCTCTGCACCTGATGATCCCCACACTGCGCACGAGGCTCTGGCCCGCAATGACGGGCCGAGATGGCATGAGTCTATGGACTCAGAAATGGCCTCTCTGCATGAACTCAACGTCTACAAGCTCATTCCCCGCTCTGAGGTTCCTCACGATGAACGGATTATGCGGACCATATACGACTATAACGCCAGGAGGAGTATCCCTCCTATCCGTCAGTTTGATGGGTGTACGTGCGGTGCGTTGATATGCCCACCGTGCTTGTCTTGTTCTCTCCACCATTTACTACACTCGCGTGTCCGGTGGAGGTAAGAACCCTCCACATACATTCACATATACATGTATTAACTAGACAACCTGTAGCCTTACACGCAGCTACAGGTAATTAAGACCGTTTACTACACTTGCGTGTCCGGTGGAGCCTTACATGCGGCTACAGGTCTTAACAGTTGGAAATGGTTGTTGATGATCAACCCATAACGGAATCCTGATTTCTATACATTTGTCAAATTTTCAAAAATCTAACTCATTTTTTCAGCTCAAAACTTTGGATTCAGTTTGATCTAGTATATAGGCACTTGTGGAATTAATTTCATATACAATACATGAAAGTTATTAGAGATAGGGTGAAATGCGTCTACGAGTGATGGAACACTGTATAGAAACTAAATAAAACACATATCTCTTGATCACCCAATTCTGGCCACCTCTCAACCCATCTCGCGTTCTCACACCCTCTTCTCATTTCTCCTTTTGTTTGGCTTAGCTGGGACATTGCGTTACACCATCCTAGTGACCTCACTATCCCCTTCTTCATTCAGCTCTCACTCATTCCTGTACTCCACCGCAGATACTTCTTCAAGACTGGTTCAGATCCTATCTACGTTCTCACGCTGTTCCCATCTTCTGCATGAACCCAGATACACGACTGACATCCACCACATTATGCTCGCTCTCCACTGCCACAACCAGATCTTCAAGCATCTGATCAATTCTCTGTAAGCTGCAATCGTTGAAATCGCGAACGAGTATTCACCTCTTCAACTTTATCCATAGATATTCCTGTGCATAATGAGACGATTTTCCTACATTGGTACTCCTTTTCCGCGTGTGTGCCCCGCAGGGCACTCAATCGCGACTCCAGGAGGGTCTCTGCACGATCCTGCCACATCTTCAGACGACGCAAACGAGTTAGAATTACTTCTGATTCTCCTGAGGGAATGGTAGGATCGGCCTCGAGGTTCATCGCGATATCTCCAACCGCGGCCATCGTTGACTGCCCTCCGCGCCATTTGAATGCTGACCCAGCGATCGGACCCGCATCGCGTCCATCGGGAGTTGTCCGCCCCGTCCAATCGAACGTTTCCTCGGCTCCGATAGCCTTTTCGAGGTTTCGCATCCGCTGACTGACACGGTCATGCTCCGCACACTGGTTTTGCCATAGCTGGATCTGTTTGCGCTGCTCAGACAACTCCCGCGTTGCGGCCCTCAAATGGGCCTGTGTCACGTCAAGAGCGTCCTGCTTCGCCTTTATTTCCGAAGTGAATTCCGCACTGAGACCTTGAATCATGGCCGTCATCTCTGCATGAGCACTTGTTAGGCGTCTCGTACCAATCGTAGACCAGAATCCTCGCCGCACCGGTTATCACCTGCTGACTCTTCTGTACCGGTGCAGGAGGCACGGAACGGAGCGACATTAGCATATCCTCGGCGCGGAACCCGCTAGCAAGCTCCTTCATTGTGATACGACATAAGCATAGATGCAATGAGTGATGTCAGAAACACACCTCAACTTCTACACCGTAGTCCCCGGGTCGCAACCCAAGCTTGTTCGCCATCGTTCGGTTTGCTCCGACATCCATCAATGCGCGGACGAGGGCGCGGTTCCCTACTCGGGCCGCTATATTCAACGCAGTGTCACCATGCTCATCTTGTAGATCCACGACGCTCCGGAAGTCGCCTCCTTGGTGTTGTGCAATCCAGTACAAGACCTGATCGAGGTAGTAACGGGCGGTAATGGCCCTTCCTTTTACCCCAGCCAACGAGACAATGTGATGGATCACGGTCTTGCGCGACGTGTCGATGGTCCGTATGGACTCGTGCAAAGCGGCAACGAGGGTGTGGAAAGACTGTTGATCGGCGTTGTGCGTGGCGAGGCAAGCGCGGATAAGGGGCGTCTCTCCGTTATAGTTGCCGCGGTGGACGTCCGCTCCGCTCGCGATCAGCGTCTCCACAATTTTCTGACGCGCCATACTAGCAGCCAAGTGGAGAGAAGTATGGCCTTGATCGTCGAGTACCAAATCTATGTCCGTCGTTGTTGAGGCCGGGTTATCAGGAGGAATGCTCTTCAACAAGTCCATCACGTGCGAAGGATCGTCGCTCTGGCATATGGCGGCGATAACTGCCGCACGCCGATTGTCCTTCAGAGGAAGGCTCGGGTCCATGTGCCGCATTATTGATGGCTTGGACGCAAAACGGACGGCGGCGACGTAGTTCTCGACAGGGTTCTCGGTAGTTGATCCCGTTCCACCATTAATTGTTGTGGACATCGAACTGGCAGGCCGGGAAGTCCCGTTTACCTGTGGTGTCGGAGCTCTCGACCCAGATGCGCTCACCATGAGGTTGGGTTCCGTGCGCGCCCTTTTTACCGGACGCTGTCCATCTTCTCCATCCACCACAGACGATGGTCGTGATTTATCTGGACCAAACGTTTCAGGCGAGAGCGCGAATGAAGCGCTAGTTTCCGAGTGCACCCTTTTGAGCGATGGCGTTGGAGATACTCCGGGTAAAGTTGGTGCAGGTGAATTGGAGTACCCGGCATAAGGGCCAGGCGAAGGGTAGCTTCCGCGGGCGGCCATGATTGTGGACGTGGATGGCGTGAAGAGTCCTTGGGCTCGACCTTGGTTCAGGAGTCTGAGGGCCGATCCGGGTAAGATTGGGGGAGGTGCCAAATGGGACGGGAGTACACCGGAGCTGCTGAACGACGAGGCCGCAGACAGCGGCCGTGAATGAGCACCGGCTAAGGTCGACGAAAGATTTCCCATCGTGTTGGTGTGGGGTACGAAGTCGAAAAGAGGTGCGAGCAGCGGCGCAACGCCGTATTGTGTAGCAACCTCGCGACCGCGTTCGAGAGGAATCCTGTCCAGAGTTAGGCAATGAGATAACACGGTGATATAGCGAACCCACCATGTTCCTTGATATTTACCGTAGCCTCCTTGGACAATTTCATGTTTCCCAGGCAGGATCTCCTTCTCTAAAATCTTCGTACGGCGGCCTTTGTCCACTCCAGCTACCTTCAAGATTTGGGTTGCGTTCACGTAGGAATCTGAGCGTCTTCGCATGACTGCGATACCCCGAACCATGCATTCATAGACCTGCACAACGTCAGCAAGCCCCAGGCCAGCGCTGGATCGCAGTTTGGTTCACCTGCACCGAGGAATAAACGGCATTATAGATCTTGACGGCCTGAGACTGAGCCTGCATGCTTGGCGGTCCACGTTTAACAGATCGGTCCAGAAAACGCGTCGGCGAAATGAAGGCTGGTCGGTTGAGGTCGTCACTTGTGGGACGGCGCTGCTACGGGGCGACTTGCCCGGTGCTGTTGAGAAACCCTTGGAGGCGCGGGGAGAAGCCGAGCTGAAAGCGGGAGCAGACGGTCGGGCAAAGATCGTTGACACAATGCTGATGGCTGCTAGCCAGGTCGTGCTCGAGGCTCGCCGCGACAGAAGATGATCGAGCGCGATTTACGAGTGCACGCTGATGATAGCGCGTTGTCTGAGCTACTTGGGCGCGTGTTCGGTTCGGAAGTTGGCCAGATAGTCAGCGCCGACCTGGTTGTCGCCAACTGCAGGAAGCGGGCGGGCGCGCTCGAGTTGGTGTGTGACCGATCCCAGACGCGTCGCGTGTTGGGGCCCCGCTACATATTGGAGCCACGCGCGCCTGTGACGACAAGCCCACAACTCTTGCTCTGTCCTCTATCTGCGTTCACCTTCCTGCGTCGCTGCTATGTCGGAGGAGGCGCAGGCACAGATGCGCCCGTTACTACTACCAGACGAAATCGACAAGACTGAAGTATACCCATTTGTACATATGATCAAGGCCGTGAGCATCACTGCAACTCACTCGATGGGCTCATACTGACATTGGACAATGCTCCAGGACGTTACGGTACGTGATCACCGATAGTTTGCGTTGAACTGCGGTTATTTATCCGGCAATCAGCATTTCATAGGTATGTGATACGTTGGCTATCGCGAGCATGGACTGAAACGGCGGGCGTTCTCAGATACATCATTGACTTACGACGCGGTAAGTCATATCAATGGCGCGCCTGACGACGGAGACAAAGCTGACGAGTTACTGCAAAGCTCACTGCACCGGATCTCACCTATACCCTTGTACGGCCCCTAGAAGACAAGTACAACGCCATTCAACGGGAAGGCAATATGTCTATCGTGTTCTGCTTCCTCCTGAATCGCGTACACTTTCTTCGGGACCAAAATTTGACTACGTCGGGCATCTCGCGCACACGGGCGGCTCTATGCGAGATTCTAGCCATGCGTACCTTGCGCGCCAACGCGGAGAGTACGCTGCAGCTGGCGCTGGCGCTGACAACCAGTTGGCCTGTCTACAACGGGGCGGATCCGAGGGTTATCCAACAAGCGCGGGAAGAACGGGACGATGATTTGGATGACAGAGTGGGCAACGCGATCGAGATGGCAATCATCAGCAAAGCCAAGAGGTTCATCAAGAGCTCTGCATGCCAAAAAGTGATAAACGGCATATGGAGGTTGGTTCATTTGCTCAGTTGCGTTATCAACGCTTATTCCATCAGTGGAAAGTGTGTATACCAAGCGGAAAGCAGTCATACCATACTGTCCGATGTACGTGCGTCGATTGCTCTGCCCAAGAACTGTGCCCACGCCCACACTAGACTTACAAACGCACGCCAATCCATTTCTACGACCCACACAAAGCTCCTTTGCTGGATCACTACCGGCAAGTTCACTCTAGTGATTTATGACGGTGTTGCTCACACCTTCGCAGACTCAAGGTTCCTGCTGTTCGCTCCGTCCTCGAATATATGAAGTGCGTTGTTGCAATCTGGCCACCGCTAGCTAGCTCATGATCAGCCAGTTTCGTCGTGCTGTTCATACTCTTCGTCGTCGCACTCGAGTTCAGCGAACGCAAGACGATCAATACACCGGAGATTGTGTTCATGGTATATGCTCTTGGTTTTGCCCTCGAGAAGGTCGCGGCATTGCAAGAGCATGGGATGAAAGGTAGTACTTCTGCCTCGTTTCATGTATCATGACACTGGTAGCTGATCTGCTTTCAGTTTATGTTACTGGGACCTGGGTGAGGTCTTCTTTGAATGTGTGCAATGCTGTCTCACAATAACGGACTAGAATGGCTTTGACTTGGCGTTCGGTACGACATCGACGCTCGTCCGCAGTGACAAGGCTGACCCTCCACAAGTGACGATCTATTGCACCTACGCCTCCCTGCGTCTGTATGGTGTGGTTCATGACAGTCAGCGTCCCAGCTTCTCGTCCTGACCCCTGCTGAGACGCATGCGACACAGGCAAGTGGGCCCGCCGGGCTGGCATGGACTGTCTTGCCATGATAGCTCCTTTGATGTTTCCTCGGTGCGGAGCGCTTTTCCATATTATGGTTCACCACCAATCGACTCGCACTTCAGACTGGCGTTTGTAACACTCAGGAATAACCTCATGGTTCTCTCGTTGCGAGCTATGCTCGTTCAGTTCACGGCGCTGATGTTCATTGCCGCGTTCTGCTTTGGGGGCTTCCTATACGCCTTATGGACGTGAGCCATTCCTGCTCCCTCAGCGGTCTCATCGCTACATGTCCCTAATCTCATGGTACTAGGTTGAGCCGTGACAGCGCTGGGTGCGTTACGTCCGTATCTGGATGTGGAATCAGTCTAACCGTCTCGTGGGGTCGAAAAGCTACTCTGGAGGGTGCGTTGGCTTCTTCTGCTCTTCTATGCCATGATCAAATGAGATTCCTCCAGGCAAATTGCGTGGTGGATGCTTGATCTTTGGTTCGGGCTTGACGCAAGCGGCTTCGAGCTCGCTTGTGAGTGCAATATGTGTTTTGCTCAGTTGCTTCCGCTGATTGCGCAATTATGCACAGTCAAGTTCCATCCTTTCTTCGGTCCAGTACTAATGGTGACGTACGCCTGCCTAAGCAATACCTTACTACTCACGGGCAAGTTATTACTGTATTCAACATGAATGCTCAGGCTAACTAACGTGCGCTCAGTGTTGGTCTCGGTTCGTATTGGTAGCGAGGGATGCTTGACTGTGGCTTACCACGATATAGATTCTTTCGCATACATTCTCCACCATCAGCGAAGATGCTCTTGCTGAGGTGCGTGGAGTCCCATACATGACTGTGCACTCAGGGGCCTGATACATTTCATACAGGCTATGTTCCGAAAGGCTGTCGCAACGATCGAGGGTGTTAAAGCTGACCCGCTTTTCTCCTATCAGCCTCCCATCAATCTGGTGGCGTTGCTAATCATGTTGCCAGCAAGCTACATCCTGTCCCCGAGATGGTTCCACAAGGTAAGGAACAATCAATACCAGTGAACTGCTGAAATCTGATCGACACGCGTAGCTGAACGTTTTCATGATCAGGTCTGCACAGAGCCTTCTACGTTGTGCAACCGCTTACAGCTCATACAGGATTACAAACTTCCCGATCCTTCTCACTGTTGCCTGGTACGAGAGACAAGCGAAGAATACAGGTTCAACTGGCTTCTACGAGACGGTGGCTGCTACAGTGGAAAAGATATATGATACACTTCCAAGACAAATCCGTCGCCTGAGTATGCTGCGCATCTCCGTTCATTGTCCCGGTGATTTACTGGTTGGGTTTAGCATTCTTTGAGGGGTTAGCAGGCTCCGGGGGTGATATTGACGCGGTACGTAATTGTTGTTGTGATCGCGGACTGCTCATCGTTGACTTCATATCTCACCAGGTATTCGATATTGAGGAGGATATGAACAGCGCTTTATCGGAGACAGAGGAGTTAAGCGGCTTCCTGCCGTCGACCAGCATTAGCACGGCCAGGAAACAGTCCAGTTCGTCCCAGAAACGTCAATCTATCTCCGAAAACCCGGCCGCGCCTCGTTCCGAGGCTAGTCCTGGAAATCGGAAAGAGGATCTGCCAGGACCATCCACTCCTGCCCCCCGGCCTCGTCTCATGTCTATCAGTCGAGTCATGGCTGACACCACGGGTCAAATGCCCAGTCCTCTCGCGCAGATTTATCAGCCTCTCCCGGTCGATGACAGCATACTAGAGGATGAAAGTGGTCCTCCACCGGTCGTTGGGTCTCCAGCATTGAGCTTCGGTCCTGTTACGAGACGGCGACGATTGTCATCTCGTGTGCAGCCCCGGCTTCCAAGTGACGGAAGAGGAGGGCTCGGAGTGCACGTCCGGAAGACTTCGACGGGCTCTTCTCCCGGCATGCGCCATCGACCTCTCGCGGAAGATACACAAACCGTATCGCAGAGTCCAGATCAAATGCCGTGGCCCGAAACCGCGGGACAAGTTGAGGAGGAAGAGGGTGAACGTGGTAACGGCTCCTTGCCGTGGATCAGACGGCTGGAAAACATTGAGAAACGACAGGAGAGAATCGAAGAGTTACTGCTGCAGCTCACTCGCCGTAAAGATTTGTGACGGCACGGCCTCCAGCCAGGAAGAGGTCAGAACTGGCTCGGTAGTGCAACGGCATGTACATCAGTAGTCATCGTACACTAGGCTAGGTTAAATGAAGCTATACTACTTAGTTATGATAAATAAGCTCGTCCCCTTTCTAGCGATTCTGTTGAGGGCTCCCGTTACCACGACCACGACGGGACCATCCATTGTCACGAGGATGATCGCCAAATCCTCTGCCGCGTCCTCGTCCTCTGCCACGGTCTCGCCCTCGACTATCATAAGGCGGTCGATGATCCCGTGGTCGACCGCCTTGGTAAGGAGAATGCATTCCCCTTGACGGACCTGCAGGGCTTGACCCGCCAGGGGGGTACGGCGGATGCGCGTATCCCGGTGCTGGTGGAGGAGGATAAGGCGCTGCGGCAGGTACCGTCGGTGGGGGTATTGTCCACGCTGGAGACGGGTATAAGGCCGGGACCGGAGGTGTAGGAGCCAAGAGGTGGGGCGCCGGGGGTATAAGAGGGGGTGCAGGAGGGATGATAGGAGGACCAGGAGGTTGGCTTCCTGGTATGGCAAGACCACTGCTGGCTAAAGCCCGTAGCATCTCTTGGATTTGTTCGGGGGTCAGAGAAGCAACCTGAGTGGCAAGGTCATTGGAGCTGGAAGGTGCAGACGAAGGAGGATGTGGCGCCGGCGATCCTTGAGGCTGGGGAGCTGGGACGGCTGAGGTAGTTGCGAGGGGTACCGACGGCGTAGGGGGAGGCGCGAGCTTGCCCTTCACAAGGATCCACAACCCGATCAGGTAGTTCGCTATCCGTTGTTTCGGCAAACAGAGTTCTTCTAAGAGCTCCATGTAATCCGGCAGAGGCTCGCTGGCGAGAAGCGGTACGATATACATCTCGCGACCAGGATGATGGTCTTTAGGCCGATTGCCCCACGGAAATATGAGACCATGTCGCCTTGCGTGGAAGCAAAAGTGAGTACATCGCCCACACTAACAACGATGTGAGACGTACCCTTTCGCGATGAGGTAATCTATCAAAGTTTGAAGACTATCTCCCCCATCCGAGGAGAACGCAACCGCAATCACTTCTTTGGTGGGATTCATTCTCGTCTGTAGCAAGTAAGCTGCAGACTTATCCACTGGAACCCGACCATCAATCCGCAGATGATCGCTGGGGAATAACGTCTGCCATAGAGGCGAACTGTGGCCCAGCTGCCGCCCTCCCATCTGACGAGCAATGACAGGCGTTTCTTGGGGTACCGTTGAATCAAGAGGCATGGAGATCTGATGAACGGATGAGTTCTGTACAAAGACGCGAGGTGGCAACGTATTAGTTACCTTGCCAGACCACACAGGAGGTGATGCTGCGAAGTCCTGCTCTCGTGGACCGGATATCTCATGATCATTACTCGATTCGGGTTCCTTCACAGTGTCTTCGTCGTCCAGGAACATGTCGAAGTCCTGGTCCTGGGCCTCACCCGCGAGTCCCTCTGGCTCCAAACCGCCATCTTTGGGTGGCTCATCCGCAACCTGGCGCGCAACCGAGGGCTGCGCACCCTCCCCTTGTTCGTCATGCTTCGCACCGGTCCATAAGGAGTTAAGATCGAACGAAGCACTTCGCTCTCGTGTTTCCGGCCTGGAGACATTGGCGGCGAATGGAGAGATCCCAGTAATAGAAGAGGATGATGGCTGCTGCTGCTGCTCGATGGCCGGAGATTGTGCTGCAGCGGTGTCGCTCTGGGTAATAGACGTTGACAATACCTCTGAGGGAGACGCGATCTCGTCGTCGATATTGATGAGATCGGCGAGATTGAGTTCGGGCTCGGCCCCGATAGGCGTCATCAAATCCGATCCGGAGGGTACGAAGAGGGGGTTCACCGGAGGTCGCCTGCCCAGGCCGTCGGTGGGACTGGCAACTACATGAACGGGCAACGGGGGAGGCGCGCCCCAACTCGGTGTCTGCGGGGTATGTGGGGTCACAGGAGATTCGGGAGGCACCGAACCCGACGTCGGGCCAGCACGAGATTCGGCTGTCCGTAATCGGGCAAGCCGCTCGCGTTCGCGCCGTTCGTCATCCTCCTGTTCGCGCTCTCGGGCCTTGGCCATCTCGCCGTTGATGTCCTCGATATCTTCAAAGCCTTTGTGGGTGATCTTCGCTCGAGGAACGAGCGTCTTTTGCAGGATGCTGTGCTCGAGAGCCTCCTTCTCAGCTTGCTTCATAGTTTGCTTGGCTTCTTCGCTCGCAAGGTCGGTGGACGACATCTGGGAGAGCTCCTTGGGGTTAAGGTGCGAGGATGCGATCCGCTCATGCAATACGACGCGATCGGGCTGGCTGAGGTTGAAGGTCAAGGTCCTGAACCGATCTCTGCAGACAGCATCAGTACAAGCAAGTTCCGCATACTGGCTCTACACTCACTTATACTTTGGTCCGGCATGCGGTTTTCCATCTTTGCCAGGCTCGGCGTAGATTTCGTATGTACACTGCTCCACCTCAGCAGCGTACGCGTTCGCTCTCGTTTCGATATCCGCCTTTTGTTCTGACGTAAGTTCTTCAGGCTTCACGGCCTGCAACTTATTCGCGGAATCTTGCAAATGGTCGGTTGACTCCTCCTCAGGCCCGACAGTAGGAGAAGGAGCAACATGTGGACGCTGTAAAAATATTTTACAGAACAACTCCTGATATTTCTTAAGACAGAACACGCGCGCAGGGTCATCTGAGGCTGTCGACGTGGTCGTCGCCGCCGATGAAGATTTTCTCCGCTTCGGCGTCGGTTGAGGCGCGTTCGAGCTCTTGCGCTTGAGTACACTTGCTCCAGGAGAAGGAGATGGTCCCGAAGATTCGGCCTTCGCGGAAGATGAACGGCGTTTGGTGGTAGTTGGTTCGGTGTCTGACTCCGATGATAACGATAGTCGACGAGTTGTGCGCTGTGCATTGTGCACTCTGAGTACCGAGTCAACCGAGAGTGTCCTAGCAAACGTACCTTGCCTTTGCCATTCGGCTTGCCATTCTCTTCCACATATTCATCCTCACTGGCATCGTCCTCTGAGGCGCTGGGAGCCTCCGCCGGGGACGCGTCCGCGTCCGAATCCTCCTTGATTACAACATGCTTCGAGAATTTGTCTGTCTCCTCTTGATTCACTGTTTCAAGCGCTTCGGGCCCTTCGTAATCTCCTACGATGAAAAATCAGTATACTGTTCCTCCTCCTCGACTATGGGATATCATGGAAAAGATGGACGAAACGGTGGTCGCAAGCAATGCTATCATCACGACGTCGGGTATGTCGTGGACACAATCGAGGTCTCACGAGAGCTACAAGCGTATCCACACCGACCAGCCTACGGGCTGATGTCCATAACAGCATCGAGGGGAACAGCGAGGGACTCTCAGGTCACACAAGTGAAGGATACGACCACAGATATGTTTCGACATGTACATACGACCACCAGAGTAGGAATAGATCGGACAGAAAGACGTGAGAAGAGAGACCAAGACTCACGAACTGTTCGTCGGCCAGTCTTCACTTCACAGGGTGGGCACACGTATATCTCTGTGGAGAAACAGATTAGCAAGGGCGTTGGAACTCAAAATATGTATGTAGTCTCACTGATGTCATCGGCATCATCCTCAGAGATGTTTACGCATCGGAAGTGGAACCAATCTTTGCAGTAAGAACAGTTGATCATGGGTGTGCCATCGTCGTTGCCCTTGCATACGCAGTACTGCTTTTTGGAGCGCCCTCCCCCTTTCTTCTTCGTCGACGACGACGCAGCCGAAGTTGGCGAGGGCTGGTGGTTCTCCTTTGCAGCGACACGTTGAGAACGTCTTGAGCGCCCCTGCATGATGTAAGTCGGGCTGCAACCTCACAGTGGGGGGGGGGGGGATGGAGGAGATGATGATATGACGACCGGAGCCGTTGCTGCGCAAATTGCCCGTGACTCGCGATGATATTTCCACGGTCACGCTACTTCTAGCTAAACATAACACCGCGATCGTCCTCGTCTGTCTGCAGTGACCTCCGTTCTATCACGTCACTTCCTTGTATATTCTAAACGGTATCAGCAGTGCTTTCTACGTGCTCTGGCATATGTCGCGCCCCATCGTTTATCCCAAACCATGTGCAAGCCTCAAGGGTGATCTGGCTTCGCGACCAACATGTCAATTTCTCTGCACAACCTTCACCTGCAAAGAATTGCGACCAAAGGTATAACATGACAGG